TTTGTGCGCCCAGGAAAAAAACAGAAACCTGTTTAATCCAGCCAATGATTTTATCATGTGCTCCCGTAATCCTTCTAGTCTTTAAGCAGCAAAATAAAAAGAGGTAGATTTTCACTTCAGCTTTAACCACCCAAAACAGCAGAAATACCAACAGTATCTTTTTCATAGCAATTAAACTAAGTTAGCCCATGTGACAGAAAATTAATAGTTTACAACCGTTACATCCAAGCTATACCCAGGTTAAATGCTTACACAGTTGTGTCTTTTTTAACCCTTTTTGCACTATTTGCAAACTAAATGACCTAGCCATCACTCTGCAAATGTTTCAGACTTTGATTTCATAAACAGCTTCAAAAGTAATCAGGATAAAGCAGAATTTACATAAATTACAATTAAAATATTAAATATTTGAACAAATAATGACTTTACAAGAAGGGATCCAAACCCCCAAAACTATCAAGACAATCAGACTAATTGTTAAAGAATTGGAACAAAATTAGGTGGGAATTTTTGTTGAATCACGCAGAACTGTTAACCAATCAGTTGTTCTCCCCATTGGACACCTGGTCATATGAAGCTGTCTGCACTATTGTTCACCTTAGGATAAGTTTACCGCCACCACACTCTTTTATGGTAGGGATCTATAGGGCCTACTTGGTCAAGTGTGGAAGAGGTAAAATTGCTTGACAGTCAAATGAGAAAAGTCTCATGCAAGAAACTACAGTTTTTTAAATATATGTTGTCAATTAATTACAAGTTCCATTGCTGATATTGTTACAGAGATGAGGGGGACTTGGATGGTAGGTCTTACTCCTTCAAGATCCTAAACTGCTCTCCTACCAGATCCATATGACATCATTAACGTGCTCAGTATTGACAATTTCAGACCCTGGCACACTTATTCACCTTCTTCGTAACCCCATACCTACAAGCTTTTTAAACGTTATTTATAATATACATTTCTCTATATAATTAAATTTACTACTACTCCATCTTCCCATAAGTCTCTGACTTCACACGTTCAGGAAAACCGGAGGTCTCATTCTGTGCAAAGTTGGAAGATTGGTAGAGCTCTAGAAAGACAACTATTGTTATTGATGCTATTTGATAATGTCAGGACCAAAAGTCCCCTTTGTTAAGGCATTTCAAATTGGGTTGGTTCCAATCAAGCAGTGATAGAAGACTGACCTTCAATCAAAAGAGGTTCCTTTGTGCAACATCCTCGGCTGAACAAACAGTACAGGGTCACAGCTGGTCTTGAATGACCATATCTTTCCTGTTAAGATCCTGTATCAATCTGTTTTCCTTGGCCCAAATGCATTAACAAATTGCTTTCGGTGCCTATTTTGGAGTGTGACCTGCTGCACATCGTAGGACTGTTCCTTCCTACACACATTTTTATATTTAAAGTTTGGGCAAAGATTTGTAGCTCGGGTTGTGGGTGAAGTTGTTGACTTGCTCGCTGAGCTGGCTTGTTCTTGTTCAGACATTTCATTACTACGCTAGTTGACATCATCGGTGGAGCCTCCGATGAAGCGATGTTGTTCTACTCCACTTGGAATTTATGCCGCTTGGTCCGTTATGGGGAGTAGTGTAATTTCCAGTTTTGATCTGTATGGGTTTGTATAATGGGGTCAATTCTTTATGCTTGTTGATTGCATTACATGTGGAGAACAATCAATTAGCAGTAAAACAGCACAATGAACTCTCCTTAATGTCGGTACGCTCAGACAATGAGGCCATCAGTTTAACTGGGACAAGGTTACCATAGTAGCCCAAGCCAAACATAGACATGCACGTCAATTCCTAGGGGCACGGTTGAAGACATGGAAGCTAGAATTCCTAGAGGCATAGGTAAAGACAACAGTATGAGTTTGCAGACTAGGTTGAGTGAGTGGGCAAAAATCTGGCTGATGAAGTACAATGTGAGAAAAGGTGAAGGTGATTACTTTGCCAAGAAAAATGAAAAATCAGAACACTGCATTTCTGTAGTCCTTCTACTTTGAAGTCATGTGCATCAGTCACAAAGTTAGTGTGCAGGTACAGCACATAATCAAGAGGGCCAATGGGATGCTAAAACGTAATAGAGAGAGAAATCAAGTATATAGAAGGATATTATGCCTCAGTTATACAGGGAATCAGTGAAACCACATCTCAAATATTATGTGAGCTTTTCATGTACTTCTTTGAGGGATGTAAACATGTTGGAGGCAGTTAAAAGGAGATATACTAGATGGATAGTTGCAATGAGTGGATTGTCTTCCGAGGACAGAATGGACAGGCTGGGATTGTTTCAAATGGAGTTTATAAGAGTGAAGGGTGACTTGAGTGAAGTATATATCTTGAATGGTCTTGATAAGGTGGATGCCCAAATCCATAACAGGGGTTATTGTTTTAAAATTAAGGATCACCCTTTTAGGCTAGAGATAAGGAATTTTTTTCCCCCCACAGGGTTGTGCAACTTTGGAACTTGCTGCCTCAGAAAATGATGGGCAAGGGGGTCACTGAATATTTTTAGTCAAAGATGGATAGGTTCTTTTCAGGCAATGGAATCAAAAAGGTTAAATGGGAATATGGCATTCAAAGCCTAAACTGCTCAGCCATGATCTTACAGAATTGCAGAGCACAAGTGGTCAAATGGTCTACTTCTGTTCCTATTTCAACTGTTCATACTCTAGAGTTGTGGAAGTGACTAAATCCGCACACTCTACCACTGTTTGGCAGATGATGTTTGAAGAGGCAGGTGGGTGGGACCTGGATGCTGCTTCCATTGTTTGCACTGGGTGAGATTTATCAGAGACACTTGAAATATATGCCACCTTCATCAATGTTTCTTCTCCTGTTTGGACAGTCTTGGGCAAGAGTTTCACGGGGGTTGCTGAAAATGTTGCGTTTTTGAGAGAGGCTTTGAGGACTTGAAACACTTCGTCTGTCTCCTGGTAACAACACGTGCAATAAATCTCAAAGCAGAAAGCTTGTTTCAGGAATCTTGTGTCAAATATGCGTATGATCAGGCCTGCCCAATGGAGGATGCTGATGCTGTGCCTCGATGCTGGGAACGTCAGCCTGAGACACTATCAGAACATCTATCCTGCCATTGCATTTGCAGGATTTTGCAGATGTATTGCTGGTGATATTTCTTCAAAGTTTTGAAATGTCTGCTGTACAATAGATACAAGAGGGAAGGTAACATTGTGGCCTTATATTTCATAAGCTTGGTGCCAGGTTTGAGGTCTTTGTCATCAAAACAGCATTGCTCCTCAGATGGCTGAAAGCTACGCTGGCACACTTTCAATGTTATTGTATGCTTTTGCAGAAAGGGGGCAATACTCTGGCAGTCAGTTCTATGGAGGAATGGAGTGTTATGCTGAGGCACAGAGAAAAGAGCACTAGTCAGATAACACAGCCTTGAGCAATTCCAGCTTATACTCGAATTGAGTCAGTTCTGTTCATGAGGATCATGGTTTGTATGTTATAATTCAGCAGGCAGAAGACGCTGATGAATTTGCGGGCAACCAAATTTTCGGAGCATTTTCCATGTCCCTCTCGGTTGACAGAATTAAGGGATTCTGCAAGGCCAAAGAAGGCATAGAGGTAGCTGCTGCTCTCTGCATTTTCCTCAGACTTGTCTTACTGGGAAGATCATCTTCACAGTTGTTCTGGATGAACAGAAGAGGAATATTCTAGACTTCCCCATTAAAGAAAATAGGTTTCCCCCTATCTATCCCATGAATTCTTTTAATAATTTGGGATAGTTCATAAGACTAATCTATACAATCTATCCGCAAAATGAAATTCCTTTAGAACTCAGTATCATTCTAGAGAGTTTGTGCTGCACACATTCCAAAGTCAATACATCATTCCCAAGATGCATGCACTGAAAATTATACATTTCAATACACTCTACCAGAGCTTTATCCAACCATAGAATAAGTGACTACTTTGCATGCTATTCCCCTTGAGATAATATTAATGTTCAGTTAATCACTTAGCTCATGTTTTATCTGTCCACTAGCTTTTAATGATTTCTGTACATAAACCCACAAGTCTCTGTTCTTTCATAACTTGTTTCTCACTATTTAAGAAATGAAAGCCATTAGCAACATTTCTTAGAGTAGAAAAGTAATCTAGCTAATCCAAACAACAGAAAAATGGCCACCTGATTAAAGGAATTTTCTTTTAGAATTTCAAAAGGAATGCAAAAATTAGATTCAAAAACCTTTCTCCTTGATATCTGTGCGGCTTAATGTTAATTTAGTTTTATCATGTCCCCGTGAAAGGGCTTGAGCCTTTATTCTGCATTAATGGCACTAAACAAAAACAATTTTTATATCAATTTTCATGGCAATTACATAAGTAGATGTTTGACAAAACAGACATGCTTTTTATTATAAGAGGTGGCACATATCCCCTCCATTTAAAACAATCTGTTCATCTACAGTACAAAACTAAAATGGAGTCAAATAATATAAAATTATCCCTTAATATGTACTCTTTCCAATCCTTCACTTTTGCTTTAACAAACTTCAGTCTTAATTCAAATTTACTTAAAATTTAGTTAATTTAAGTTATCCTAATTCACATTTGCAATACATTTCAGCTTCCTTTTTTAGATGTGTTTTTGGCGATGAAGGTATTGTTGGCTAGGTTAGCATTTATTGCTTTTCCCTAATTGCCCTCTGTTCTTCATATTGAATTACCAATGATCTTGAATGGTGCAAAAAAAACTTTTATTGCAAACAGTATTCCGTGCATGCACTTTGTTTTCTACAAATGAAAACTCATGAAATCATACTACTGCACAATAATTGATCAAATATACAATGTCTAAGGAAACTGTAATGATTATATTAGAAGACCTATTGGAAGTAAATCTATGGAAAAATGGTCAAAAGAAAATCAAAAGGTTGAGTTTATGTGTTAATTCTAAGAAATGAACAACATTTTAATTTCCTTCTGAGAAAAAGGAATGCTTTCCTGATGACAAATTTGAAGCTTACCTTCAGCAATAGCATGGGGTTTGATAATACATAATGTGCAATCAATACATTTTGCTGTATTTGATGGCCCTTTACCAAGCGATGGGAAAAAAATCTCTAGTTCCTATAAAAACAAAGAATATAAAATGAACTGAACAGATCAATTCTGTATTTCTAATACAGAAACAAAATACAGCCAATCCCAGAAATCTAAAATAAAACCAAGTTCTGACAAAAGGTAATCAACCAATCTGAAATACTAACTCTTGTTTCTCTCCTCAGAAATGCTTCAAGACCAGCTGAGTGGTTAATTTGTTCTATTTTCTAAAGTCTGGCCTCGCCCCTTCTGCCTATAGAAGTTAATTGTACTAGCTTCAATACTACTCCAGCTGAGATGACATAGTTTAGCACAAACTAAGCACTGAAGTTTCAATCTTGCAGGTCTGTACATGTCAGTACCAAGGCAACAGTGTGTTTCCTTATAAGAAAAAATTAATCATTATTTTGGACACCATAACTCATTAGCTATGAAACATTTTTAAAATGCAGTTACTGTGGGTTCACAGATACAAAAAATAGAAATATTTATAAAAATTGGAAAATTTGAAATTCAAGTATGACAAGTTTTAGACACATGGAGGGAACAATCTCTGTCTGAAAGATAAGGCCAGAGGCTTGCTGGTGAAAAAGGATGAAAGTGCATGTCAAAAATGTATATTTTAAAGATCTTATGTTGTTGGCAAAATGGACACCCTTGTTAATCTGTTTCTTGACCTGGTTTCCCAGAAAACAGACAGCATGAGCTATCTCAGGGCAAATAACCCTGGACTGGGGTGTCTCAACCTCATGTGCAAAGGACCATTGAAAAATGCAGGACAGAAGAAAGCCATTTACCCCATCAAATCCCTGCCAGCTTTTTTGAAAATAATCTAATTAACCATAAACTCCCGCTTTCTCAACTGTACCCATATAATTTCTTTTCCCCTCAGGTATTTACCTAATCCTTTTCTGAAGGCTACTAAAATCTGAATCCACCATTCCCCTCAGCGCATAAAAAAATTCTAGCTACTTGTCACAATTAAATGTTTTCTTCATGTTTTTGTTTTATTTTATTCTTTCGTAGGACATGAGCATTAGTAGTGATGCCTGTTTTTGCTGCCTATCTATAATTGTCTTTGGAATCATTGGCTTACTAGACCATTTCAGAAGCCAGTTAAGAGTCCACCACAATGCTGTACATTTGGAGTCACACATAGACAACAGATTTCCTTTACCAAAAGACATTAGTGAACTATATAGGTTCACTATATGGTGGAATTTGAATTCAATAAATATCTGGAATTAAGAGTCTAATGATGACCATGAATCCATTGCCGATTGTCAGGAAAAACCCATCTGGTTCACTAATGCCCTTTAGGGAGGAAACTGCCATCCTTACCTGGTCTGGCCTACATGTGACTCCAGACCCACAGCAATGTGGTTGACTCGTAGCCACCCTCTGGGCAATTAGCGATGGGCAATAAATGCTACCTAGCCAGCGACGCCGTCATCCCGGGTACGAATAAAGAACTTAATCCACCACTATCAACATCCTGGGGGTTACCAGTGACCAGAAATTCAACTGGTCTCACCACACAAATACAGTGGCTACAACAGCAGGTCAAAGGCTAGAAATACTGTGGCAAGTAATGCACCTCCTGACTCCCAAAGCCTGTCTACCATCTACAAGGCACAAGTCAGGAATATGAAGGAATACTCCCCTACTTACCTGGACGGGTGCAGCTCCAACAACACTCAAGAATCTTAACACCATCCAGGACTAAACAGTTTGCTTGATTGGCACCACATCCACAAGCATCCACTCCCTCAACCACCAATACTCAGTAGCAGCATTATGTACTACTGAAATTCACCAAAGCTCCTAATTCAGCACCTTCCAAACCCACGACCACTACCACCTAGAAGGACAAGGGCAGCTGAACATGGGAACACCACTACTCGCAAATTCGCCTCCAAGCCACTCCTCATCCTGACTTGTAATATTTCACGGCGCCTTCAGTGGCAATGGGTCAAATTCCTGGAATTCCCAGTCAACTTACAGCTTATGACTGCAGCAGTTCAAGAAGGCAGCTCACTACCACCTTCTCAACTAAATGCTGACCAGCCAGGGATGCCAATATCCCATGAGTGAATAAAAAGAAAATGAATTGAATTCAAATTCTACCAGCTGCCCTGGTGTGATTTGAACCTACGTCTCCATAACATTAGCATGGGCCTCTGGATTACTAAACAAGTAACAATGCTATTATCTCCCCTACCACTCACATTAAAATTGTGCACACCAATCATAAAGCCTTCAACTATTGGAAGCAGTTGCTCTTTAGTTCCTTTATCTAACGCCTTTATGATTTTAAACATTTCTATAAAATCTGCATTTAGTCTTCTTTGCTCCAAGGAAAACAAATCTAATCTTCTCTGGTTCATTCACATAACAATAACTTCACATCACTAAACCATTCCAGCATATCTCTTTGTATCCCCTCCAGAATTCAACATGCTACTCCGGTTGGTGTTGAATTAGTGTTTTATGTAGGGTTAGAGTAACATTTTAGCTTTTTTACTCTATGCCACTATTTATGAATCTCAGGATTCCATTTTCTTTATTAATTGCTTTAATAACTTGTTCTGCCATTTTCAAAGATTCCTATTAGTTCTTGAATTTGCATAAACAAAAGTCCACTGTGTTAAACATCTGATTTTTTTTCTTACTTTAATAAATATGATAGGCTCACACCCCCATCTTGTATTGAGCACCTTATCTCTGCCAGTCTAAAAGCTTAGAAGGCTAGTTAATAGCTAATAAAAAAAGTAGGTATCGCTAGACTGTAGAATTTAAATCAAATGGCTTTGCTGATGGATATAGAATAAAGGGCTCAACAACTTGAAAATGAAGATCTACAAAATTTATGAATATTCATACCATGTCCCTTAGAAACGTTCCATAATGTTTCTTACACAGTGAACAACATTGGTCAATTAATATTACACCATCAAGCTGACTCTTAGCTTGATAATAAAGTGCCAGAAACACAAGGATCATAACCTAGCATCTTAGTCCTTACAAACATGGATAAAATTACAGCTATTCTGAAAAGCAGCTAAATAATTTTCATCCTCATTGTTTGCGGAGCATTCTGGGCTACTCAGAAAGATTAAATCTCAAATGTCAAAGATAAATCTCTGAAGTCTGATGGCATTCAGCAAGCAGAAGTGGCAACTTCACTGCATCAGACACATTCATAGGATGGAATATAGTCACAGACTCAACACTTCTCTGTATGATGAGGCAGTCAGAACCATAACATCAGTAGGATGCCCAAACCTCTGCTTCAAATGATGCTTGCCTGGGGGACATAAATGTCTTAAAACATATTTTTGCACCTGGGAGACACCAGCTTATGACGGAAGAAAAAGGTGACACCAGCTTTGCACGACCATACACAGTGACATTTGGTGCCTACAGCGGCTCTAAAACAGGTACCAACACCAAAGGCAACTCACGTTAATACATGATGACCACTTCAGTCAGCGAGTGCTACATATGGCCTCTTCAGCCATTAACACAACTGCACCGTTCCAAGCCATTACACTACAAACAGATTTCAAATTTCATGCCTATCATCTTATGTGGATGGAATGACAACATTGAGTTCAGTCATTTTCCTACTTCACAAAAGGTCCATTCGACTCAAACTACCACCACATTCCTAACTTAAGTTTTCCTTCCAAAGGCCAAGATCATAAATAGCATTGCCCATGACAAAAAAAAGAAAGAATTTTAGAAATAAAAAAAAAATCACTAAACTTAACAGAGGCCATGGAGATGCAAATGCTATCTTATACACATTGCCTCTCAAGGGCCTCCGAATGGCTTCTGCTCTGTTCTTAACTTTTTCTAAAGGTACTTTAGAAGATAGAAATTGATGCCTCATTTTCTGGGGAGTAAAAGGGGTTTGATTTTTGACCTGCCAATGTTCATTTAGCTCAAAGTGTCCATCATGCAAAATTGTGCAATCTCATCAGCAAGAACGTATGTGCACCTTCAGAGCTCTTGAACACTGCCAATGAGCCCTGTGCATAGCAGGGAGCTCTGGCTAAATTATTTCCAGACCAAATGTACATACAGCCTTCTTTTCAAGGCCAGGCTACATTTTAAAAGGGAACCTGTTACAATAATCATTCTGTACATAAATCTTTGCAAAGTGAACACCCTGAGCAGACAGCAGGAACCAAAATTAATAAAAATGGCATTGATGTTTGAGTTGTGCAGCAGGAAATTATACCATGGTCCTGCAGGGGCCCACGAGACCCTCAAGAACTATTTTCAGAAGGGAGCAGGAGCAAATGGCCAGGAAGGTAAAATCCCAAAGTCTGGAATGAAGGTGAGCCAGCAGTGTCAGACAGCATTCATTAACTCATACAGGTGATCAATGTCAGCAAACGTACCTTCACGTGACCTCCTACACTCACTCTTTGCTTCCCTTATTTCCTTTGTCAACTTCCCTCTGAACCTTCTTAATTGTACTATTCACCAACATATCATAAATAAACATACTATTTCTGCTTTATCTTAATCTCCATCTCATTTGGCACCAAGGTAGCTCCGGATTTGTTTGCCCTACCTTTCTTGATCATATACCTTTGCTGTGCTCAAACTCCCTCTTCCTTAAAGGAAGCGAAATTCTTGAGATAATCTTAGATTCAAACTTTTCTGTGCCAGAACCATCCTTATCCCACTGAAGCTGGCTTTCTCCCAGTTAATCACTTCAGATTGTAATTTTGCCATATCCAACCCAAAATCTATAATACAATAATCAATATCTTTGAGCATGTTGCCCGACTGACAGTTGATCCACTTTGTCCCCCTCGTTCCTAAGAACCAGGCCTAGAATGTCTCGTTTCTCTTTAGAAACATACGGCTGCAGAACATTTTCCTGAACACGCTCTAGGAATTTTTGCCCCTGAATACTTTTTCACTACTACTATTCCAGTTTATATTCAGAAAACTAAAGTCCATTTTTATAACTTTATAATTCTATAAAATTCCTTGAAGATTTGTTCATCTACATCCTTCTCACTATTTGACAGCCTAGAAAGTTCATGGGTAGTTTGATTGCACCTATTTTCTATTGCACCTCTTTCTTAGCTCTAGCCAAGCGGATTTTGTCCTAAACCCTCTAGGTAATCCTCTCTCTCCAGCATTGCAACATCCTCTTTTATTAATACTGTTACCCTTCCTCCTTTCCCATCTTTCCTGAAAATACCGTACCCAGGAATTTTTAGCATTTACTCTTGTTCTGAGCAGAATCACTTTTTTCATCCCATATTATTTCCATAAAGCTATCTGCTCCTCAGGTTCACCAATCTAATTTCCCACACCCCACACACTCATTGTGTGCTCTGCAACCCTAATTTAGTCCTAATTATTATCCCACTTATGCTAAACCCAACTGTTATGTACTGTCTTACTAACTCATGACTCCTATAGTCCTTTCTAGGAGTGGCCGCCCCGCCTTTCCTTCAGATTACAAAGATTTCTTTGCATTGGTCAACAGTAAGCTCAATATTGGGGTGTATAATGATGGGGCTCAATAAGAAAACTTAATTTTAATTCTTCCAGTCCAAAAATTAAGTACTGAAGGACATAATTAAAAACAGTTTCCTATTAACTTTCAAGAGGATTAAAGGGCCCAAATTGCAAATATCAAATCAGTAAGCAAGAACCTTTAAAGCAAATTTTTGGATTAAAACCAACTACAAGATACAGAAAAATCGACATTCAATCATTAAGTGACTAGGCCAGGATTTCTTCAACTATTTCTTCAGACGCATTCATGTTTTAAGCCTTAAAAGACTGTTAACTAAATAAAGCTCTCAGAAAATTGTGCAAAGATCTCACCTGCCTTCCCACACAGATATGAATTATATGTTAAACATGGCAAGAACTAAAGATCTAGCTGAACACAATTATCACTTAACCTCACAATCCTATATAAAAGAATGCTTACTCGAGCTGCAGTTGCAGCACATTCAGAACCATGAGTATTGGCGTTGTCAATTCCATAAAGAGCCCGTGTTCTGGCTTCATTTTCTGCTCTGCTAGAATCTGGAGATCCAATTAGCTTCCTCCAGGAAGAAGCAGCTTCATCTCCCATAATTTCCAGTGCAACAGCAGGACCACAAGTTAAATACCTAAGAAGATCGCTGAAAGAGACAGAAAATTGCATTATCACATTTTGTCACTTCTGTTGGGTAATTAGGTACATTCAATTTAGTTTCAACAATCATTATAGAGCTGAAATCTGCATCCTCATGGGAATTGTTTGCTTATTTTATCTCAGTTTGGTTGTTTGTTTGCTCACCGAGCCAGTTGTTCTGTGGTGTGCAGACATTTCATTACCATTCTAGGCCACATCAGTGCAACCTCTAATCGAAGCATTGGTGTTCTGCTCCATTCAGAAATCTGCAACCTCATGGGATTTATTTGCTCATTTTATCTCAACTTGTTTGACTAAATAAGTGAAGACATGGAACTTAAAATATTAAGGCCAAGTAAATTGTTTTAATGTAAAATCCTTTTTCTATATTATGGATTCAAACATTTTAATAAATATGCTGTGTAAATTCACATAATATTGCAGCAATATTACAGAATAAGTGTTGATGACAGACAATGAATCATTTCTTTTCTTCCTGAATACTCCCATTTTCTGACAATGACAATACAGGAACTACACCTGTTATTGGAAGAATTTCTGTGCACAAGTCTGTTGTCTTTCTTCTTTTGGAGACCGCTATTGTATAAGAAATGAATATCCTTAGGCAAGACTGGTCAACAGCAGCAAATAAAATCAATGGAATCAATCAATTTGCAAAAACTTGCATTTATACCAGGCTTTAACATAGTAAAGCATTTAATGACACTTCATGGGACCATGACATCAAGCTACGTAAGGAGTTAAAGACATATTAGTAAAGCAGCCTCCTGGCTGCTGAACACAGATAGATTGCTAACTTGGCCAAACAAAAACTCTGAAATCACAATACCCATACACCAGACACCATACAAACACAGCAACCAGGTGCTAATGACATTAGCATAATGTAAATAGCAACAGTGATTCTGGACAGGCATACCCCCAACAACTAACCCACTAAACAAAGGAGAGCCCAGACAGAACGGCACTGGTCCTGCTACATAAAGAAGTTAACAGTAGCATGCCATCCAAATGATTGACTCTGTTTCAAACTATTAACTATTAATCATTTCCCTGATTGGTCAGAACTAAAGAAAGTTCCAGAAAGCCATCTAAAAAGGTATAAAAACAGGGCTCACCCACGGACCCCTCTCTTGGAATCTTCTGAGGCCTTCTGAAGAAACTAGCATGGCAAGAGGCAGAGACTGGCTGACCATCCAGAGAAAGAGAAGAAAACAGCTTCGCAGACCCTCAGACAGAGTCAGAGAGAGGCTGACTGCTTAAATCTACAAGAGACTTGTCGGAAGTATTGTAGCCTTAAGTGACCAAATAGGATGACAAACAGTATGTTTACTAGCAAATTGTTTTGTCCTGGATTACATTTAGCTTAAGTGTTAATGGAGCTGAACTCATCCAGGCAAGAGAACAGTATTCCATCAGGGAACATCCCACATCCGACCTTGTGATGAAAGGAAGGTCATTGATGAAGCAGCTGAACATTTGGACCTAGCTAGGTCATGACCCTGCACTGGTGCTACTGAATCTCAGTAGTAGAGGAACTGGATGTTTGTGGATGTAGTGCTAATCAAGTGGGATGCTTTGTCCCAAATGGTGTCAAGTTTCTTAGGTGTTGCTGGAGATGCACTCATCCAGTTCTGTTTCTGGCCAATGAGGGTAACCCAAAGTATGTCGAAAGCGGGAGATTTGGTGATGCTAAAACACTACTGAATGTTAAGGGATGATAATTACCTTCTCTCGTTGGAAAAAGTGATTTCCTGGCAGCATTTCTGTGGAGCAAATGTTACTTGTCACTTTTCAGCCCAATCTTGGATATTGTCCAGGTCTTGCTGCTTTTAGAAATGGATATCCAACCTTGTGTGTACCATTTACAAAGATGCACTGCAGAAATTTACTAAGGATCCTTAGGTACACCATCCAAATTCACAACTATCTGCAGCTACAAAGTCAAGGGATGCAGATGATTGGGAACACCACCACCCACAAGCTCCCAAACCAGCCACTCACCGTCCTGACTTGGAAACATAATATTATTCTTTCAGTGTCACTGGGCTAAAATTCTGGAACTCCCTCCCTCATAGCATTGTGGATCTATCTACAGCACACGGGCTGCAACAGTTCAAGAAGGCAGCCAAGGGCACCTTCAAGGGCAACTACTAATGGGCAGAAAATGTTGACCCAGTCAATGATTCTCACATTGCATGACTGATGTAGAAAAAGAGTAACACCTACAGGGGAACAATGAGACCGAGATGATTGACATCAACAAGAACAACCATCTTCCTTTGTGCTAGGGATGGCTGCAACCACTGAAGCAATTTCCCCAATTTACAAATAACTCCAGGTTAAGAAGGATTCCATGCTTGAGTCCAATGCAGCCTTGACGTGTAGGGCAGTCACACCTACCTCACATCTGGAGTTCAGTTCTTTTGTCCATGCTTAGACCAAGACATAAAAAGGTCAGGAGTTGTGTTGAGCTGGAGGAGCACAGCAGGCCAGGCAGCATCAGAGGAGCAGGAAAGTTGAC